AGCTCTCCGAGAGAGACAGAAAGATATCAGAACTGGAGCAGTACATTGACAACTTACTTGTGCGCATCATGGAAGAGAAACCAAGTATTCTCATGTGCATGAACTCTCTGAAGAAAGCTGTCTAGGTGGCTGTACTGCTGACACTTAATTCCCACTGTACAGTACCTGATTTCAGACCCAGTAATCTGACAGTTCTATCACACAAACCTGAATTTGAAATACTTGTGGATCCTATTAGTAGAAGTAACTGGAGTAAAAGTTTAGGTTTATAAGGTAAGAACAATTTGGAGTTCAAGTTCCACATGAATGATGACAAATGTTTATGCATTTTATAAAACAAATCTGAGGAGCTAAGACTTATCAGATTGCAGCCAGATATGTTAATGAGTTCAAAGAGTCAACTTGTTCTAAATATTGAATATTTTACATTGCTACAGTATGTACATTTTGAAACTATCTCTTAGGTAGCCTACTTGTAATATTTTTCATGTTGAGCATAGATTCTCTTGATAACATTGTTACTATATCATGGCAAAACAGAATGCATGCAGGTTTTTTTTTTTTCTGTAGACTGTTGCTGTTCACTCCTTTTTTTAAAAAACCGTTAATATGCACTAGCTATTGTATGTAGATTAAAAAAAGGTCCTGCTCTTGTCCCAGATGTCAAAGGTTTACATGGTTCTACTAACTAACCCCAAAAAGCACTTTAATTAGCTTGCACTGTTAACATGATATACTCCAATATAGTGAGGTTATAGCTACATTGTATTAAAATGGCTAAAATAAAATTAATAAATGAACTAATTCAATGTTTTAAGGTTCATGTCTGGATTGCTTAAGATGATCAAAAAATGAGCATTGTGTCTGAATTATTAGTGCAGTCTGAGACCTTCAAAAGAAAATGTTGTAATGAAGCCCCTTTATATTTTGATCACTTCCCCTCAGAAGTCCAAACTCACTTGTTGCCATGTACCCAAACTCATTAACAATTAAGCCTGTGGTGTTTAGCCTCTTAGTTAGAATTTGGTCTAGAATAGAACCTAAACTCAAAGTTGCACTTTAAGATAATTGCTTTTTTAATAGTTGTGTAATTAGTATTTCTGAGGAAATGACTTTTTTTTTTTTTTTTTCTCTCTTTGTAACGTCTCTGGTACGTACTGGTGTTCCTCTAGAGCCAAGGTTCGCAAAGTATGGGGCACGCCCCACTAGTGGGGAATAAAGACATGAAAGGTGGGGCGCAATGAACGGAGAAAATTAGAAATGGGAAATGGAAAGAAATAGAAATTAATACAAGTAAAATAAAATGACATCAGTTCGGGGCCCGGGAGAAAAAAAATGGAACCATAGTGCAACAATAACGGTTTAACGTCGGCATGTTAACTGCAGCACAACAATATAAAGAAACGTTCACAGAGAGGGCCAATAGTGTACATAATAGGTATAAAGTAAATGGATAAATTTGTTACATGGACCACTAAAAAAAGCAGGTGATTCAGTGCAAGCAGACAAAGAAACGGGCAGTAGCCTTATCAACCAAAAAGCCTGCCGAAAAGTAAATATGATGAAGGATTCACAGTGGAAATGATGGGGGCAGAGGAGGGACCCATGTGTGTCTTGTGTCTTAAACCGCTGGCAGCAGACAACATGAGACCCAACAAATTAAGAAGACATTTAGAGACAACACTATGAGGGGCCGTATAAGACATTATGTATTCTCGACGTTTCACACACATACATTTGGACACTCACATGCATATATTCTCCTCACACATGCATATATTCTCCTCACACATGCATATATTCTCCTCGCACATATATATATATTCTACTCGCACATACATATATTTTACTTGCACATACACACACACATATTCTTCCTTTACGTACACGTAGTTTCACTCACACATTTTTTCCTTTCACACATATATTCTTTTCACATACTTATATTTTCACTCAGAAATGCACATACAGTGCCTTGCGAAAGTATTCAGCCCCCTTGAACTTTGCGACCTTTTGCCACATTTCAGGCTTCAAACATAAAGATATAAAACTGTATTTTTTTGTGAAGAATCAACAACAAGTGGGACACAATCA